TCATTCATTGAGCTTTGAGTGGAGTGAGCTCTTACCCCTAGTGGAAGAGAGGTTTGAGAGCTGAAAACAGAATAGAATGCTGCCAGATATCCATTTGGAAATTCTAAGTGTAGATGGCATGTCCTCTTATTTTTTCTGCTATAGTGATAAACTACCTCAGATTTCCTGATTGGTCTTGTTCTCTGCGGGTAAGAGGTCAAACAAAGCTTGTTGAACATCGAGGGAGTGGAACCTACATTCTTCTGCAAAGGTGTGCAGTTTGTGAAGAACATATGTAAGTGGACAGATTGGTTCATATGAAATTCCAAAACTATTTTAGAAATAAATTTGGGGTATGGGTGTAAACAAGCTTTATCTTCATGGTCTGCCATCATTGTTCCCAGCTCACTGATCCTCCATGCCGATATGATCGCTACAGGAATGGCAACCTTCTTGGAGAAGAGGGACATGAAACAAGTAGCTAAAAGCTAAAAGGGGGCCTTGTTAGTACCAACCCCTCCCCCCACAACTAAAATTCAGGTCCCATTGGGGCCCAATCTTCGGAGGAGGCAAGAAAGTTCTTATCAAGACTTTCCAGAATCTGTTGGTTAATGGGTATGTGAAAATGGAGTAACCCTGAGCGGCTAGATGGTACACACTAATCGCCAGTCACTAACTGGACTCACAAAGAACTGAGGGACAGACCCAATGTCTTCAAAAATAGGATCTAGTCTAAGATGAAGTGAATATCTGTAGCTTCTGAACACCTCTTTCCTGTGAGCAGTACAAGAAGCACTGCCATTTAGCTAGGGAATACTTTCTAGTAGAGTTTTTTGTGCTATTAGAGAAGATGTCTCATATTACTAAAGAGCATGCATGTTGGAGGGATGATACCCATTCAAATACAATGCCACGAAGTAGAGTGGTTGTGCATTGGGGCATTTGATCTTGCCATTGCACTGGGTCAGAAGCTCAAGGAATGCTGGGAATGTGATTAGCGGGGAGATGACAAGCCCAAAAGATTGGGGAAACATAACTGGGCCAGAAAGGAGCAATCAGGATGACTGTTGCACTGTCCTGTTGGATCTTGTGTAATACTTGTGATAGGAGTGACAACAAAGGAAAGGCACAGTTGAACTGCTCTCACCAGATAAGGAGGAGAATATTGCCCTGGGAGCAGTCATGTAGGTTCATCTGGAGCAATACATGACATAATTGCTGTTTCCTTGGGAGAATCATGGACCCAGGCATCCAGCATTGCTTACTGGGATGCTGAGTTCTGAGAAATATACAGACCTTGATCAAGGGCTCAGAGCTGTTCAGCCAGAGGATATATAATGTTCTGCACTCACTGAAGGATTCAAAAGCCACCTTGTACTCTCTGGAGATACACACTCTATTACCAGGTCCACCTCAAGGAGTGTGGACATCTTGAGAGTCCAGAATGCACATCAAGGCCCTAGCACTATGGACAGTACAGAAGGCATGTGAGTGCTTTCTTTTGTTAAATCACTTTCACCTTGTACAGATAATATTAGGCAAAAATGGCTGGCCATTTTGCCCCTTCAAGGAACCAATGGAGTATGACTTTCTCATGAAAGGTCAAGCTATTTGAAACCCTTGCCTTTGAGGCGACTCTTACTTGTCTTTAACTTTTATTTTACCATTGACATAAGGAGCCCTGTTTGAGGTGGGTGTAGAATAACTCATATACTGTGGCAGGTACTAAGTACCACTTCTACACCATTTTGCAGCTGGACCAGAAGTTGACAGACATCAAATAGCTTATGGGTTTCTTCAATGAGACTGTTGTTTCAATCTCCAGTGCCTCAGCAATCATCACAAGGAGCTCCTGGAACATTTTAAAGTCTTCAGGTCCCAGCAATAACATTTCATCAAGTGACAAAAATGAAAGGCTTTATGGCAGTAATACAGAGGTTTGGTGCTGCTCTGTCCCTGGATCTGGCTCTTCCTAGTACTTTGTTAAGGTGGTCCACTAGGGATGCTGAGTGGGGGAGTGGCCTCTTAATGCCTCAGTGAACCCCGGTACTCCAGCAGGGCTATAGCAATAAAGATGGCTTGTTGATTATTGGTCAATCCAAGGTTATTACTGATGGACAGTTGGTGGTGGAGATCTTTAGGATAAGGTGGTAGAGTATCTTTGCGGTATTGATCACTGACCTCAGAGAAAGCAGCTCTCTACTGGATGATGGGGAAAATGTATGCCACAATAATGGTGAGGAGGAGCAGAATTGTTACAAGGTAGTGCAAAAATATCTAGTGTTCTTAATGTCAGAGTTTGCACTGGTGCAAGTAGGTGTTTTGGTACCAATGTTAGTCCCAGTTCTCCTTTGGGCTAATCCTCCATGGTATGCATGAACAGTGACCGGTTCATCATCAGAATTGGGGTCAGTGCCGGAGAAGTTTACTGTAACATAAGCTTCTCCTTCCCCAATCTTCAATGCTGCACAGTATCTTGTGGATTCATCTTCAACAACCATACAGTATCTGTCACTATGAGACTATATGGAATTCCATGTGGAATCTCTGCTTGTATTTGGCGTGGCCCTTCTTGGAGTTAGATGTAGATGCCAGAGGAGGTGCACCATCTTCAATTGTTGAGGACACCATGTGCGTTGATGGTGTCAATATTGGTAATGACTGGTTAGCAGTGCCATAAGAACATAAGAATGGCCATACTGGGTCAGATCAAAGGTCCATCCAGCCCAGTACCTTGTGTGTCAACAGTGGCCAATGCCAGGTGCCCCAGAGGGAATGAATCGAACAGGTAATGATCAAGCAATCTCTCTCCTGCCATCCATCTCCACCCTCTGACAAACAGAGGCTGGGGATACCATTCCTTACCCATAATGGCTAATAGCCATTTATGGACTTAACCTCCATGAATTTATCTAGTTCTCTTTTAACCCCTGTTATAGTCCTAGCCTTTACAGCCTCCTCAGGTACATCTACTCTGTACTAGTCTTAGGTGTTGCTTTTCTGCTAGACAGGATGTTGAATGAAGATGGCTTGTCTGACAGCATAACTTGAAAACTGTTCTCAGGATCTGATAACACCTTCATGGAGTGTTTAAGAAGATGGACATCTTGCACCTTACATAGTCTCATGGAGAATGAGAAGCAGACAGAGAATCTGCTAATGTACCCACACAGGACAGAAATCTGCTTCTTCTTTCAGGGGAATTAGCCTATAACAAGATGAATAGCGCTTAAATCCTGCCACACTAAAGGATGTTGTACAAGGGTGTATGAAGAGTTCTAACCAGTTCAGTTCAAATGGATGGAAAAAGTTCATGACCGTTCATTCAGAAAATGAGAAGATTTCTCTAATATTTGGAGAAGTTTAGCAAAAGCTAAGAACTTGTGGGCGGAAAATTTGGTTCTTACAGCCACCCAGTTAGAGGAACTGAGGGAGGGATGCAGATGCCCTACTTTTATGCCCTTGTGTGGGAACACAAGAAGGCACAGGATGCATACACAATCCCAAAAGACATTGCTATTCAAAAGCCTCTAGTCTTGTATGAATGAGGAGTATGCATAACTTTAGTGTGGACCACTTTGACATACTCAGTGGAGAACCTATATTACTACATAGGGTTACAATTTTAAAGTGGTATATGTGGAATTTTGCCAACAAATCCTGTTCACTATGAGATTTATGTGGAAAACATGTACACTGTTTTGAAAATATAGTCTTCAAGGTCTGCAATTTGCAGGTTTTTACATGGACTGAGTGGAGTCCTCAAGAAAGTTCATGATAATGCTATTTCAATCTTTGATGATACCTCAGGCCACGCTTAATTGATTTTTAAAATTTAGTTCTTAAAGTTCATACAGCTTAAAGGAGTTGAAACTTGCCTGTCTAGAGGGCAAAGAAATTGGCAAGACAGCTAAATGATCTCACTAGCACTTTGTGCAGTGTAATAATAGTATATCATATTTCTATGGGAGATTAACCTGATCCATACCTTAATGCATATTGGTGCATAATTCAATTTTTAAAACAGAAACTCTTCCATTACCATTATAAAAATAACAAAATACAATTTAATACCTTTCACTCACTTGGAAAGGAAGGGAACATTTTATTTAATTAATCTATTTTTCAATATTATTTGAAAGCTGAATAATAAGCAGAGCTGAATGAGACAGAAGATGCATTTGGCTTTCAGAAAGAGGTGAAAATGAATTAAAAATATTAATTCATAGTTGAATAAAGATGTATATAGAAATAAATGGAATAAGGGAAATAATAAAGATGGATTATAGCAGACAGTACAAAATTCCTAATTATTCATTTTGCCTTATAAATAGTGGCAGAGCAATGCAATTGGTAAATGTAGGAACACTTCATGTATATACAGCCATACACTAGGTGAACAGAGAGAGCCAGACAATGCTTCTGAAGAGGAGATTTATTGATTGGGGTATTGGAACTGGAGTCTCTTTATCAGCCTCTCACACAAGAAGATGAAAAAGCAGGCTCATTACCATTTACCCACAAGAATATGGAAGAGGTACAACCACCCATCCACCAGAGACACTAGAGGAAATAGCAAAGAAGTCCTGAGTACCCTGCTGGTGAAAGCTTATAGTTTCTGGTAGGAAATATGCTCAGCAGTTGTATGTGGTTTTCACCTGAAACAAGGCAAAACACGGTACTTTGGGCTCAGTTTCCCTTTGTATTTCTCAGGTTCATTCAAATCAAAAGCACAAAGAAAAAGTCAGAGGGGCGAAACCATGATTAAAGGTTCACACAAAATCCTGCAAACCAGAATTGCTGAGATTTACTGTGATTTATGAAGCTATGAAAAAGCTTTCACAGGTAAACTGTAGGAAATATTATTCAAGTCTCTTTAAATTATCAATATGTTCAAACTTCAAAATTCAATTCCCATTTGTTTTATGCATAATTTTTACTAACAATTTCTAAAACACTGAATAAACTTTAAAATAACATTATTTTTTTATTAAGGAAAGTAGAAATTCCCAATTACCAACCTGAAGAACATCTCCAAGGTCTGCAGTGCTAATATCTGGATCTTCGGTTGTATTAAAAGGAACAGGAGTTATTCTTACAAGGGTAAGCACTCTGGGTTCTGGATATCTCCATAACATTATTCCTGGACTATCCTCTGTTTCATTGTAAAACACAACTTCATAGGCACTCGGCAGCTTCTGCGCCTCTATCAAACGAAAGCAAGCTATAATAAGTTACATAATTTCTAAAAAGGACCATGTTGGTTTATGAGACAAAAGTAGTTAAAAACAAATCTCTTAGGATCAAAAGGAGAGAAAATCAAAAAGTCAGGGAAATTGCTTTTTTAAGATTACAGCTAAATGGAAAGAAATAAAAAAGAAGTTGATGTAGCAGATGTTGTTTTCAATTGTTTTACCAAAAAAGGTAAAGAACTTTGTAATAGGTAAGAGATCTTTAAAATGTTACGACTGTACTTTGCAATTTTTTTTTTTACAAAACAACTATAATACTCTTCTTGCCTGCATCTTGTATGTACTGGAAGAGGCCTGTTCTCAGATCATCTGAGGTATGCTCAGTTTTTGAGAGTTGATTCTTTTCCATAGGAGACTGAATCTGGCATGTTAGATCAGAGATCAGCACCTCCCTCTTGCCTTGTTCCGTAAGGTACTCTTGCAGAAGTTCATGAAGAAGAACTAAACAATTCAAATGTTCTTGTCCCCAGAAGACCTTATAAAAATATAGAAAAGAAAACAAAAAAAGATTACAAAAAAGTTGCTTTAAAATATGTAATTATTTTAAATGAACTCACAAAATAAGTAAATAAATCAATAAAAATAAAGAACCTACATCTTTTTTGCTGTACTATCTTCATATACTATAACTTTCTGCAAATTTGTTAAATGGCAAAAAGATTCTAGCATGCCATTTGGCAAATTTGTCTCTCTCTCCAGTCTAAGTAGCATATTTATTTTTATGATTTATTTGGCACCCAAAGCACACTATGCATCACATGGTATATAAAATAGACAGGAACTTAACTGAAGTATATATAATCTAAAGGTCTGCTCTGCACTTACGGCTGGGCACATTGTTTAGTGTTGGGAATTGTCCCACTGAGTCAGGTTTTAGGATAAGCTTCTGAGGAAAGTAATTATACTGTTTCAACTGTTCAGAGCATGGTGTTACAAAATGGGCACTTAGGTTTGTAATTCTTCAGAGAACATTAAGTCTGGCTCGTTGAAATGACCTTCTTGTGGTATATATGTTTGGCAATAAGTTCCCATGGAAGATCTTTTAGTTAGTGTTTTCATGGGTTTTCTTAAATCTTTTGACTACATTTATACTTTTCCATTACTCTTAAAATTGGTGGGCAAGAGAAGGAAATTAGGAAGGAACTGCAGAGAATAACATGAAGTCCCATTATATGTATTGCTAAGAGTTTAATATTTTCAGTTCTTATTTGGAAAAACATTCTGGGAATTTTTCAGTGTTTAATTTACAAACACTAAAACCAGGATGAAATATGGTAATTAAAAAAATAGAAAAAATGCCTTTTTTTTTTTATAATTTACACATTTTACTGTAGAATAATTGAAACTTTTTTTATGTGCAAAGGCTCTGATGCTGAGCCTCTTGCTGTCTTGGAAATAGTCTAACTTTGAATGTAAGTGCTCTGCAACAATAGTTCCATAGGATACAATCAAACTTTGCTGTGCCACTTTGTTGAAGTTGGAAAGTGCACCTGTTGTAAAAAGCCAGACTTGAGTTTCACATTGTAAGCATTAGGCATATTTATGTAAGCACTAAATTCCTCTTTCAGATTTGAATTTTCATCTTTAGTGGCAATTGGTTGAAAAACTCTCGCATAACAGTCATAGCATGCTGCAAAATTCACTCTGAGGAACAGGTGCAACACCTGGATGACACTGCAAAAAATCTTTAGCACCAAACACTTTGGGGTTCAGATTACAGGTACAGGTCATTTCCTTTTTCTTGTGGAGTGTTGTGCAGAAGGTTTTGAATGCTTTTTTTGGTTCTCTCATGTTCTAGGGCTGGAAGGATATCCAGAAACGTGTGGGTTTTCTCGCTGTATGTTTCTCCTGCAGCTTTTGTGCTAAATTCAACTGAGGTTTTGGTTGTCAGAATCTGGTAAATATCTGTATTGGCATATGTGTTGGCTGCTGTCAGAAAAAATTCCAGTGTTTCTGTGTGCCACACAGTGATCCCAAGTTTTCAACAATGAACATTAGCTTGATTTGCAGGATGTGAAGGTCATTTTTGTTATTTGCCAGTTTCTTCAGAGTTTCTACTTCAGAACCAAACAACTCAGGATGATCTAAGAGACACATTAGCAGAGCAAGTGAATTATTTACATGATAGGCAGCAAAATATAAGGTCACCCATAGGTGTGGCACAACATAGGTAGGTAACAGAGGCAGCTGGCTTGGCATTTGTCTTGCACTGTGTAAAACAAAGTCTTCAGATTGTTCACGTGCTTGAAAATGATTCTGAATCCAATGATGCAAGGTTTCATGTCTTTAATATTAGCGGACAGGTAACAGGTAGTAGCTCCGGCTTTTGACTGAGTTTAATCTCCTGTGCAAATTTAGCCATGTAGGCAGCAGAATCTGTGTTAGTTATGGCCACATTTTCCTAAGATAGTTTTTACATCTCAAATACGTCCATTGTTGCTGCACCAACAAAATGGCTTTCACAGAAGAGGGGACGAATGTCACACACGCTTATTAGCAGGCTTATTAGCTTTGAAAAACAGTATGAAAACACAAAGGGCAAGAATCAGATGGACCAAATCTTTAGTGACTCATCCAAAATCAGACTAGACCCTACATTTCCAGCAATTTGTTCAGTTTAGATATTAAAGTATTATCATTTTCTTTTAGATACTTACAAGCAAGATTGTTTGAATTAGGAAGAGTTTTTGCTGCTAGCCAGTTTTGTCACACAAATTCACCATGAGCACATCTACACAGCAGAGATAAAGCCGAAATATGCTATGCAACTTGAGCTATGCCAATTGTGTAGCTTAAGTCAAAACATCTTATTTCAGCTTTTGGCACTGTCTACACAGCAGGAAGTCCTAGAAGGAGCACTCTTCCTCCGACTCCCCTTATTCCTCATAAAAGGAGGGTTATAGGAGTCAGAGCAAGAAGTCCTCCAGGTTGACATTATTTCAACTTTATGTTGAAATAACTGCTTGTAGTATAGACACAGACTATGTTATTTCGAAATAACATCAGTTATTCTGAAATAACAGTACTGTGTAGACATAGCCCATTTGCCCTCACTGAAATAGAAGTGGTTGTCTGATGAAACAAAGAGCACCCACAAATTCATCGATACAATTCTGCTGTGTCATTGCCTTCATTAAAGTACTAGCAAAAGTGCCTGATACTGATTGCTTATCCTAAAATTCACTTTCTTCCTTAAGCTTCTTGTGTTACTTTTTTCAACATGTTCCATTATTCAGTCAGCATGAACACTAATTTCAATGCTGCAGTACTTGCAGTGCAATGAATTCTCTTAATTCCCATCTATTTTTCTTGAACATTTCTAAGCATTGATTTTCTTGCTGGTATTCAGGCATAGATTTGCATTTTTGCCTCAAGTTTAGCTTTTTTTAAAAAAAAAACCAAATCTGTCTTTATCTGTGGGGGCTGAGCACTTCAATAAAAGAATGCAAACAAACAGATGGGCAGATATTTTTAATTCCAAAAACTGGTAATTTATTTATGACAATTGATTAAAAACTGAAAATGCGGAACAGGGTGCCCTAAAGATATGCCAGTGAACAGAGATTATTTCATATTTACCAATTTATTTTATTTATTTTTGTAGATTTATGCAAACACACAAAAATGCCTTTCCAGTGTCTTCAGCCATCCTTGACACATCATAAATAATACCCTTAAAGTTCAACAGTAAAATTCAATAAAACTCACAGACAGTAAACGAGAGAACTTTAAAGCTCAAATCCCCTTCATCCTTCCTCAATTCTCCAGCAAGTCAAGACAATCAGATTCAGGCTATTTTGGGCCTGTGGAGGTGAAGGTTCTGGATCATTGACATAGAAGTCCCTCACTATCCTACAATTCATGAGCATTTGCTGATTAAAAATGCCTAATAAACCTGACATAGAGGATAAAAAAACTGCAGCATAAAGTAAAATTCACAATATTTCTTGGGAGGGAAAGACCTGGATATGTTGCTCAAGCAAGAAACCATGTGACAGTTATGAGTATCTTGTTCCTGGTATTTGGTTTCTTAGAAGGTAATCCAGTTCTCTTCTTACTCATAAAACCATCAAAAGGGCAAAAGAGAGCAATGTGGCAGAACAGTAATGGAAAAAAAATCAGAAGATGGGAGTGCCATCATGAGAAAAGGAAAGACGAAAAGAGGAGAGAAAATGGGGGATTAGTGAAAGTGAGAGAACTTGGGGGGAGCAGAGATACCATAAGGCAAAAATAGGTAAGGAAATAATCGTCAAAATCCCAGATCCAAATCTTTGTCCTCCCATTTCCTTCCTTCCTTTTTCTTTCTTTTCCTCTCCCCAGTGGGGAGACTCCCTGGCTGCATCTAGACTGGCAAGTTTTTCCGCCAAAGCAGGTGCTTTGGCGGAAAAACTTGCCAGCTGTCTACACTGGCCGCTTGAATTTCCACAAGAACACTGACTTCCTACTGTTTGAAATCAGTGCTTCTTGCGGAAATGCTATGCTGCTCCCATTCGGGCAAAAGCCCTCTTGCGCAAATGCTTTTGCGCAAGAGGACCAGTGTAGACAACGCGGTATTGTTTTGCGCAAAAAAGCCCCGATGGCGAAAATGGCAATCGGGGCTTTCTTGCGCAAAACCACATCTAGATTGGCACGGACACTTTTCCACAAAAAGTGCTTTTGCGAAAAAGCATCCATGCCAATCTAGACGCTCTTTTCCGCAAATGCTTTTAAAGAAAAATCTTTTCCGTTAAAAGCATTTGCGGAAAATCATGCCAGTCTAGACGTAGCCCCTGTGTATAGTGTAGTGTTTTATTTTGGTGGTTTTTGTTTGTTTGTTTATTTGTTTTTAATATACATCAGGCCTGGGCAAAATATGGCCTGCAGGCCAAATCCAGTCCCCCAAGCCACCGGATCTGGCCTGCAGAGGCAGTGGGAAACCCCAGGCAGGCTCTCCTGCTTGCCCTGCAGCCCCACACGCTGCTCAGACACGCGGCTGCGGGGCACTTTTTTAAAGAAAAATCTTTTCCGTTAAAAGCATTTGCGGAAAATCATGCCAGTCTAGACGTAGCCCCTGTGTATAGTGTAGTGTTTTATTTTGGTGGTTTTTGTTTGTTTGTTTATTTGTTTTTAATATACATCAGGCCTGGGCAAAATATGGCCTGCAGGCCAAATCCAGTCCCCCAAGCCACCGGATCTGGCCTGCAGAGGCAGTGGGAAACCCCAGGCAGGCTCTCCTGCTTGCCCTGCAGCCCCACACGCTGCTCAGACACGCGGCTGCGGGGCACTTTTTCTTTGAGTCTGCAGGGGAGCGGGGAAGACTCAGATGCTGCTCCTGCCCCCAGCACAATCCCATTGGACAGACACTGGCCAATGGGAGCTGCCTTTTTGAACAACAGGCAGCCAAAAAGCACAACCCTCTTGATCACTCACTCAAGCATAAGGCTGAGCAGGCAGAAACACTATAAGCTGTGCAAGCGTTTGGCATTTTTTTTTTGA